TTTGTCATAGCGAACCTATTCCCATATGTTATTTCGTCTTTTATTATTAATAAAGTTTCTGATCGAGCAATAATAATTGGATAACATCCGTCTGGTTGTGATATGTTATAGGAACTGTCGATCGAATTTTCCAAATAAAAATCCAAACCATTTGGTGAACATGGAAAATTATTGTCTGTTGATGGTGCTTCAAGAACGTTCTGCGAATAAGAAATATCACCATTTGGATTTTCAATTTCTGGTTGATCTTCACAGTGACCTATATGATACAAACAGAAGAGTTAATATAAGTTTCACGCCGATTTGAATTTTTGTGGATGAACATGTCACATTAAGCGATTGAAATGTTTTTTCCAAAAGTTTTTATTTCGTTAAAGATTACTGTCAACACTTTACCAACTGGATAATAATTTAGCAAGTGAGAATGACAATAACAAGTAGATATTCAATATATCTTTTTTCTTTGATATCAGTAATGATTCACCAAAATCAGCAATGTTAGACAACATCAACCAATAATGTTAGAACTAAATGACAACAATAAAGATCTAAGGACTTCTAATGTTTTATAAAAATTTGTGTAGAGGCTTTTATTCATCACTCACTTAAAAGAATTTACAAATATTACTAACCTCTCAAAGGGGCAAGGCCTTTTACAAAGGAGCAGACTTTCCTTTCGTGTGATCTTATGTAATTGCAACGGTTGCACGATCTCACGCCGTTTTCCCTCCAAAACATTTTTTTTTATCTTTTTGACAATCCTTACAGGATTTTTTAGTTCTTTTTTCTTTTGTATACATTTTCTACCTTCCACCAACAACTTCTGAGCTGAAGGACAAAAATGATGGTTTGCTGAGGAAATAACAAAGCATGTGAGATTATGATGTAGTAGTGATATTGTACATACAATAAACACTCATTACTACCTTCCACTAACAAGTTCCAAGTTGAAGGACAAACTGATAATTCTCAGAAGAAACAACAAAAAGTTTATATGACTACAATATAGCAATGATGATTTATAAGAATCTTGTTTTATAATACTTACAATCAACACTCCTTAAACGAACCTCTACAGCGAGCTCTGAACCCTAAAAATTTAAAACTTAACGTTAGTTTATGGTGTTAAACGAAATTCATAGTTTTTGAAGCTTAATATGAGGGTTTCTCTTTCAACAATTAAATGCATAATGTAAAGAATTCTAGAACTTGTCAAAGATAGCTAGATTATCGTTCAAACGAAACTATTTCAGTCTATTTAAAATTAGTTAATCCATCGTAGTTTAAACAAGAAAGACTAGTTAATATGTTGTAGTTTAAACAAGAACGAAATAATTTCGACAAGTATATTAATAAATGGCTCGTTTTAAAAGGCTATTTTCTAAAATTTATTTTCTTCAAAACAATAATTTATTGCCTACCCTCTTTATTTCAAAAAAAGAAAAGCTGCTCAAAAGTCTCCCAAGATTTAAAAATGCTTATATATATACGTAAAACATATTAGATAATTGTTATTTAATTACATTGCATATAAAAAGAATTATGTAGATTTTATTGATAAGTGCATGCAAATATACATAAGGTTAATTAATTTTTATCCCAATTAGGTAAAAATTTACTAGTAACCGGTTTTACTTTGATGAATTCAAAAAGTTATGAATTTTTCGGAATGATCAAATGGAAAAAATTCAACAATAAATGCTAGAAAAAAATGCTAGAATATACTAAACAATTTTTAACTACTAGTATAAATGACGTGGATATAAAACTTATAAAAGCATTCGATCATTATTAAGGTTGGACATTTTTGTAAGTCATATATAACTTACAGTAATTGGGAATAACATAAATTAAATTAAATTTTATAACAAAATATACAGAAAGTATAATTTGGATAGTAATTATGTAGCAAATATATAGTAAAAATATACTGTATAGTACTACACATTTATTTTAATTATAGGACGTTATTCGATGAGATTGGCCGTGCTAAAATTAGAACTGCATGAACGCTACAAGCGTATAAATATATATAAGTTGAACGGAGATATATATTAGTTTTAAATTATACAATAACAATAATCTTGACATAAAAAATCGAGATATTTTGATACTATAATAGTCTATTTTTATTAAAGATAATACAGAAAGCGTACACGGAAAGTAGCGAGTTAAAATTTATTTGAAACATTTGTCCAAGGGAGTCGGTCAAACGTCACACAATTTTATAGTTTTTTAGGTTTTTAGAATTTTCGAGGGAAAATAAATTTAAGTAGCCATTCATTATAGTAATTCTGTTTATAGAGGTGCATTAAGCTGAGTATGCGATAACATTTCTATCATTTCTATCGTAATTAAGTACAACTCAGTCATAAGCGCACAATTTATGTAAAGGGTAAGATTATAAAGGTAATATATAAGGTTCAAAACGAAAGATAGTACACGACTGTATGTTTATATTGTAGCTAGGTAAGTTCTCAAGTGCGTGTACACTTGGCATTTATGTAAGCAAATTTAGGTTTTAAAATCATCCCATTTATTTAATAGAGATCCTCTAGTTCGTAAACGTGCAATTGGTAATGAAAAAAATGAATATCCAAGTATGCTTGAATGCTTATCACTGTCTAGCGAGGACTTTTAGGTCCTTAAAAACACGTGCAATGGTACTTGTGTAACGTTATACAAGTTACATGCAGTCATGATTACCATATTATCTTGTCATGGGATGTTGTATTGAAAAGAGTTACGTATTTGTTAGCAGATTAGTGCATTTAACGAGTATTTACGCTAGAGTACCGATGCTACGTGATATTTGATCGATTGCGGTACGTATGTATGTGTGTTATAAATCAACGAATCATCACTAAATATTGGAACAAAAACAAAAGCTAGAAACGTACCCAACATACATTTTTTGTTTCATCCTGCTTTGCGGTTCCAATAATTACATAATCTTGGTATTCTTCTAGACATAATATGTATTGTATCCAAATATATATACAACTTTCGCGATATGTATAACGTTAATCAAATTTTTAATTTTAGAAACTAAGTTTGTTAGATTCAGGATTAATTTTTAATCTTAAACAATTTTAACACGAAAGTATAGATGCATCGTTTGTATCTAATTGGGAATGTGGGCTTATCTAAGATTAGGCCTGTGCACGCTGCAGTGATACGCTTACGTAATATTTTCAATTCGTAATCGTTGAAGTATTTTCATTAGATCTTGCTTAAGAAGAACGAGCTTTCACCCGCTTCTATCTAACCTCCAAGTACTGCTGGTTACGACGGTTATACTTCAGTTTATTGCGATAGAAAGTTGTGGGTCCGAATGAAAGCTATGATTTCATATGTAGTACAAGTCTCAGTTCCATTCATTTAATAATTAATTATCATTTATGGAAAACAAGATCATCTGATTTTTCGTCCCATCCTTGATACTTATTATGATAAATAAATTAACTTAGCATTAAATGTGAAATTCTCAAAGAAATAGTCAATAACGAGAATGTTACAAAAGCGGAGAAGCAATAAATCCATAATTGTTCCTTGAAGAGAAAAAAGGGTTAAATTTAGCATGATCATCTTTCAATTATTACCAATACAATATTGAATGGGTATTACACATAATGCACCATTGTTCATATTTTGTTTGCGGCTAACATTGTGTCTCCCAGAGGATCACAGAAATCTAAAATGTTTACAATATCCAGTTAATAAAGGAAATGTGTGTTCTGAAAGCTTCCAATGTATCTATAATTTAGTAATACGATATATTTCTCAACTATCATAGTAATGTAATAATTATGTTCTATCCGATTAAAACGTTATGATGATCAATTCAGAGTCACAATTGGTTCAATTAACCTGTAGAAGAGTTTGCGTTGCTTTCAAACCACTTAATGGATGTCAATGAAGCTATAAATAATTACACACAAGGGGTGTCCGATTAAAGGAGTCTTATCGTTTTGGATGAAATCATAATATTAAATAGCATCACAAAAAATTGTGACAAGATAGGTATTTACAAATGAAGAATTGATAGATAAGATTACGACTTAAATAGGTACAGACTAACCAAAATGGATACTACTGCAAATTTAATAATGTGAATTATCTTAATTGTTTGAAAAACGTGTTTCAGACATACGTTTTATTTAATTTTTATTTTGAATATTTTAGTACGTATAGGTGACTCCATTAATAAAATATATTGTTAATTAATTATACTAAAAGAGAGCTTTCATTTTAGTTTTTATAATTGTAATGTTGTTTTATGAGTTTTGCTGAACCAGTATGCTGGCTAATGCAAGTTAATTTATCAAAAACTACAACATTCAACTGTTCAATAAGCTCGTGGCAACCAATAATCTTCAATATCGATTAAAAAAAAGATATGATTTCTTTTACTGACAGGAATAAAAATTTTAGTAATATCCAAGTTCTAGCTTTATACAATATTAGTCGAATTTTATTTTAATTCAGAAATTAACCATTTTCCAGAATGACGAGTTAGAAAATTTTGAATTAACTATATGGATATTTATGGGTTTAATTGACCAAATTTATTAGTACAGAGATCATTTTGATACTATCCGGGACATTTGTCGCGATTTGTAAAATGATATATCTTTAGATATTGTAGATTGCAGTCATAAAGCTGCTCGATACGATAGTATCAAGGCAGCTTTTGTCTCGAATCAGCCGTGACATGCCCTACTACAGTCACATGGGTAATTTTGTAGTAATGTGGTTTTAATATGACGATTATGAGGTAATAGTTATGATTAGTATGATCAGATCAGTAGTTAAATTGATTCAAGTATTTAAGGATTGTAATGAATAGAGATAGAGATAACTCTATTTCTTTTGTGAATCCAGTTGCTGTTGTTATTTGGTATTTGATATGATTGTAATTTTTTGTTCATTAATATTATTAAATTGTTTTTGTAATGTGTGAGAAATTTTTGAAACCAGGTATCAAATTGTGATTTAATTAAATGAAAAAATGAAATATAGTAATTTGTAATAAATTTTTAAAGAATAATATTTATAGTAATGTTAAGATGAAATTTGGAGTTATTATAGATTTGTAAAATAGGAGTATTATTTTTCAGAATGTTTGAAATGTGATTTATATGTATAAAGATTTTTAAATAGATGGATTTAAGTTGTAAATTATAAAAGAATTTTTGATAATCAATAATTTGGTATTTGTTATGTAAAAATAGATAAAGTCTGACAAGGTTTATAGTAATTTGAAATTGTTTTTTAATTGAATAAGATGAAATAAAATAATGTAAATTAAAAAGTATTTGTAATTTATTTTATAAAAAAGAGTATAAATAAATTTGGTAAATTAGTTTTTTGTTATACTAAGAAGTATTTTGAATATTATTTTGATTACTTCAATAATATATGAGTTTTTATTTAAAATTATATCTATAATAAATTTAGATTTTTTGATTACTATAATTTAAATTAATAAGCTGAAATTATTTTTTATAATTGGTTTATTGATTATTGTAAAATTAATAATTAAATCAGAATAGAAATTATTGAGAATTGATTTTAAGAAGTTTAAGGTTTGAATTTCTAATATTATAAGTATAAATAAAGAAGAGTTTTCTGAAATAAAATAACTTTTAAACTAGTCTAAAGAATAATTTTGTTAGGTTGTAGTTTATGAAATCATTTTAGAATTATGAATAATAATAATAATAAAAGAATATTTAAATAATTTAAAACAAAGATATAGAAAAGATTTTTTTGAATAGTTTATAGCATAAATAGAGTGTTTTATAAAATAAATAATAAAAAAAACAGATAAAAAGAATAATAATTAAATGAGAAAATTGAGTTTTTTGATATGATGAATAGAAAAAATAACTCTTTCTGTAAATTCTTTACACAAATCTTAACTAAAAATTTATCTATACAAAAATATTTATAAGTATTTATTTTACTAAATTAACTTATCTTTGGCTCTTAATTAAACTTGTTCAGTACTAAATTTTACATTTATTTTAAAAGTTTCAAGTCTTTAGAATTTATACTCATTGACAAAAATGTACTATGAGTTTTTGGTCTTCAGAATTTATAATTTTAATTATTACATAAAAGTTACTGTCAAAATCTACTTTATACTCTTATGCAAAATTGTAGAGTATATTTTTTTGGTCAAAA